CAGCATCTTCTTTTATTTTGCCTCTGGCATGCAGACATGACAGCCCGCCTCTAACAAGGTCACTGTCAACTACTTGATCATATCCTACCACATCAACCCCTGGGAGCCATTTTTCAGGCTTGGCAACGAGTTCCTCAGGAGAGCTCCACTCACCTCCTTGGGTGCTCCTCAATAACTCAGGAACTGCTGCCGCTCGTACAAATCCTTCAAGGGGCACACTATGAGCCGATTCAGCTAATGGCACTTTATCCACTGCGATGCCCTCTTTGCCCCCAATGTCCCATGGTTCATTAAACAGCGATCGGGAGACAACCTCCTCACTCTCTTCCAAGGTGCTAATGTCTTTGGACACATCTGTGAGCCCTGGTATTCTGACTTCAATTCTGGTAGGAGCTGCTGCTGCCTGTTCTCCAGCCGGCCTTCCACGTAAAAGGGGATGAGGCTCCTTAAGAACCTTCTCTGCTTGTTTTCCTGGCTGAATTTCCTTTTTTATCTCATCTGCCAAATGCTCCTGTAGCCCAGGCTCCACACCCTCCTCTAGCTTTGGAGAGCTCAGCTCCTCTGGAGTTGAAGAGGCAGGATAGCAAATGTGGCAAAGAGTTAGCAAAGGTTTTTCAATGGAAAGTCATTCTTGCAATATTAAAGAGAAAATCAAGGACTTTTTTTACAACCCCAAATGATCAAGTCTATCACATGTGCAGCAGTGAGTTCAATACTACAGTTTTTTTGGGTAGGTATATTTTGTCCTAAAATCAGCAGCACTCATTGTTTTAAGGGTACACATTACACCATCTGTCAATTCTGTCTGCCTGCTCTGTTCCTGGAAAGAGTTAGCATTGAATCAAACACAGGATTTTGCCATTCCAAATCTATACTATCCTGTGTCCCAGGCTATATTTTTTCAGAGGAAGTCACCTCTCCTCCTCCTCCAGTGCTATACTGATGTGGTTTTAGGTAGGCAATGTTGGATAGGGTGGGTGGAGCGAATGGATTCTACCCTGTCCCTCCCTCTCTCTCCAGGGACATGGTCAATGAACGTATGCCATGAAGGCTGATATTGGATTAACGTTCTCTTACAACTACTATGACTCTGCATTTTTATAAAAGTTACCAAACTATCTAAACTCTACTAAAGAGCGTTGGATTATTAGCTCTTGGGGAAGCAACTATTACAGGTTAACCACAGGCCAAGGAAAACACTGGTTTGATTTTATTTTATTTGAATATATTAATTTTAATCTTGCTGTGTGACCATGTGTCCTTGCAGTATGGGACCACAACAAAAAAGGATAGACAGTCTATCTCCATCCCTCCCCATTTTATAAATTTATATTAAAAACAAACCCTCCTTAAGGGCACCAGCTTCCACTTCCAGTTGGCAGAAGCATTCAGAGGGCTTTGGCTTGGTGACACCATGCTATATTGGTCAACTCATCCCATGTAAGGAATGGTCAGAATTCAAAACATCTTTACTTCACTTCTCAAGAACATGTCTTCCTCTACTACAAGCTTACTCACTGGACAGGACAGTACAAGTACTTTACTCTAATTCAAAGATATTTTAACAGCCTGTTTACTCCACCAAAAAGGGGGCCCTGGTAGACAGGATGGAGGGCATAGTAGAAAAGGGCTGCCCAAAAACACAGCCTCTATGACTTTCGCTCCATTATTCACTTAGAGGAACCAGTATCATAACAATGAAGCCTCCACTTTTAGAGCGAAAGGAACCACTTTGATCTACTCTTAACCTACTACACAACACAGACCATGGCATTTCACCAAGTGAACACTGTAGCAAACCCACTACTTGAGCTGGAGCAGATGCTTTAGAAGCATCTGGTTGTGATGCAAAGATTGAATGATGGAGAATTTACTACGTCCTTAGGAAAGTTGTCCTAAGTTAAATACTCTGTCAAAAGTGGGTAGCCCTGCTATTCTGAATGTGTGTATCTCCACAATTTCAGCCACTGGATTATTTTATGCCTTGGTCTACTAAACCAGAAAACCTGGGTTGGGCTTCTGAAACATCAAGTCAACCAAACCCAAATGACAGAAATGAAAATCACTACTGAATGAGTCTCATATCAAAACAGTTTTTTAAAAAAATGCAATGGCTAAATGACATCACTACCAAGGAGACCCCTAACTGGTGACTGAAGGCAGACATAGCATTTTCAGCAATTGGCAAAAACACGTGAAAACCAATGGCAAGCAGTGGCAAACTCTTTATGACTAGAGGGCACTCCATAGATACTAGTAACCCTGCCTGCAAGAGCTTGTTGGCTTGGAGATCTCCTGAAAAGAAACTGAATGTATTACCCACTGTATTACTGAATGTATTACTCAGACATACCCAGTGAATTCTTTGGCCACATTTCCATACTCCATTTGTTATTCTAATTAAATGGAGAGAGTGTAATAGATGGTCAAAAAGTTATGCATGTCCACAGGTGTGTGTCACCAATCAGATCTATCTCTGGTAATTCAGACAATAATTGTATCACCATTAAAAGGAACTGCCCCTTTTAAAACTCCATTTTCAGGGAAGCAACAATTTACTACAGAAAAATTCCTAGTACATAGCACAGAAAAAGGAAGTCTTACTGAAATCTGGCGATAAAGAAAAATGGTTAGAGGTAGAGAGAAAGAACTGCAGACACTGAGCACAGCCTACCCCACATCTGTGCTAATATCTTCCACACTGACCTATTGCATCCTGTATGAGTCTCATCTTGGCCCACTTGCATGTGGGATCTGCCAATCAAAGAACTGCTGAGAAGTTTTGAGATATGGACTAAAAGCTTCTGCTGGAGAGTGGAGTAGGAACAAACTAGCAGATACTTGGAAGTGAAAAAGATGAGCTTGGGCCTGAGTTGAAGAGATAAAGGATATTTTTTTGTTTTTCTAAATCACAACCACATCAGAACACACTGTTCTCAGCTGGACAAGCAGTGTGTGTTTTTGAGCTTAGGAGCACAGCACTAAGGAAGAACATATAATATGCACTGATCCAGAAATTAATTTGGTACCTATGCCACCTAGAAAAAGGTCTAAAAAATGAGGATTTAAATCAGGTTTAAAATCAGAGTATGATGCCAAAAGCACAAGTTGGAGTGAGTGATCATGACAGCTTTCTAATCTAGAGTGCATGCAGCCTCCTGTTCTCACTGTGTCCTGTGACAAAGGGGTGACATTTCTAAACATTTGATGATGGCTCATCTCTGCTCCCTCTGAATGCAGTTAGACCAGCACTGGATGCTTTTGAAAATACCACCTGGAATTTCAGTCAAATGTAAGTTCAGCACAGATAAGAAAAAGCCTTTTCAGATCACATACTTTAAGTTAGTATATCCCCTCCATTAAACAGATCTTTTCTCAGTTCAGTTAAGAAAATGCAAAAGATCTCTCTCTATGTAGATACACTGTGTGGCACAGTGGTTAGCTTTGTAAATTAGGTCTATGTACCTGGGTCTGCAGAAGTATTTATCACTTCAGTATTAAAACAAATACAAAAACGTGCCTGATTTGAAGATGAAATGCTAAGTTAAACTTATAATAGACGCCAACTTTGTCACAAGCAAAGTGAAAAATTAGACATGGTGATATGAAGATAAACAACTCTGTGCACAGATTCAAAAAGCAAACCAGCAACACTGCACAGTTAAAAAAAAAAAAAGAGGGCAGGGGGTCATTTTACAAAAGAATGACAATCT